TAAGGTGCATAAAACAATTTTTAGCCTTATGAACTCAGATTGACTATAAACCAGAAATTGAATAATACTTTTAAGAATTTTAGGCAGTCTCTTGCTCTTACATATCACAGTCTTTGATACAAATAATGCACAATCTTAGGGTATGGATTTCAAAAACCAGGGGCCCTAATCTACATTCTCTGGAGCATGGAGTGAGTTGGAAAAAAGAACTGGGTGGCAACATTCCTGTTCACCAGTGAAAGGCACGTATGGCATACTTGAATCTAGAACAGAGGCAGGATCAGTAGCTGAAGGAAGAGATCTATGAGTGAGAGGGGATGAGAGAAGGACAGTATCAATGTTTCTGGTTCTCTGTCATTAAAAACTTACTATTAGGGATTGAGGACGTAATGCAATGGTAGTGCTTGCCTAGCCTGCAGAAGGCTCTGGGTTTGAGCCATAGGACTGTAAACAGACAAACAACAAAACAAAATGGTTAAAAGAGAAAGTTACTATTAATTTGCCTTGTGATTAAAAATGAATTTATGACCGGCGCAGCTCCAATGAAACAGGACACAGGAGATGCTCTTGTGGACGACAGTTAACTGCTAGTTTATTTAGGCGGGCTCTGGTTTATATATTCGGCCGTGACCAATCACAGGCTGCCACAAGGAAGCAGGGCGGGAGTGGGATGTAGGCTCCGGCTACTATATCCAGCTGTGGCCAATCAGGAGTTGCCACAGAGTATGGAGTGAGCACGAAGTGCACACGGGTTGGCTAATTTAAAGAGGGACGTAGCGCATTGCGGAAGCTGGCGTGGTCCTTAGTCCCGGCTGGGGTATGGTATGTTGAGCGCATGGCTAAAGCAAGAGGGCGCGGAATTAGAGTGGCCAGCCTAGGCTACACACCAAGGCGCTGTCTCAGAAAATCCAAAACACGAAAAATAAAAAACAAGATCATTCTTTCCTCCCGAGTACTGAGACCGCAAGTATAAACTGAAGGCTTCGAAATGTTTATTTGCTTCAAATACTGAGAGGAAAGAGTAGGTAGAAATATATAGAGAATAAGATTAATATGAGTTAAACATTCTTATAAGTGAAGCTTAAAAAAAGAGAAAAAAAGGAGATGCCATGAAGCAGAGGCAGTCTAACTCAGATGTGATGGTGTATGCCCATAATCCTAGCACTTCAGGCTGCTAGGGCAGGAATGAATCACAAGTTTGAGCCCAGCTAAGCAAGTGAGTTAATTAGAATAGAAGACCTCTAAAGATTGCTCTCAGGAGCAAACTTATAAGTCCATGAAATACTTAAAATGACTTGTCTGTTTGTATTACTAAGGACTGAACCCAGGGTCTTATACTGAGCTATGTTCCCAGTCCTTTTTTAGTTTTTATTTTCAGACAGGGTCTCACTATATCACTAACTTTCAAACTTTCAATCTTCCTGCCTCAGCCTCCCACGGTGCTGAGATTACAGGCATGTGCTACGTGACCTGGCTAAAAGCAACATTTTTATTATGGAAAATTTTGAAAAGACATAAAAGGTAAAGAACAACATAAGGAACTCTCAAGTACCAATCAGCACACTTCAATGTATTTCCATTCTTAAACACTTCCTCTCTCCTCACTCCCATTATTTTGGAGCCAATCCTAAACATTAAGTAAAATACATTCTAATGAAATCTTTTGGACAGAGGTAGTCTATGAACAGCAGATCAAATAAAATCAATCTTTCCATTTTTTCTGAATATCTTCTTGTAAACACTGTCACTAACGTAGTAAAGCAAGTTGGATCAGTATTATAAAATGCCAAGTCAAATGTTGAATGAACCCAGTTATATTCATTTAACAAAGATCTACCATTAATGAAAACTTGTAATTTTCCAGTACAATGTGTTATATCACTACTAGGCAACTACTGTGTAAGAGTTACCCCTGGAATTTGGCAGCTGGAAAGAAGAAACATTTGCTAACCCATGGTTTTTGTGAGTAGTGAATCCTGGAGTGGCTTAGTTGGGCTACCATCATTTCAAGGTTCAACTTTGGGAGGAGCACTCTCAAGACTCATCTACAGGGCTGCCTGGTGACACTGTAGTTTGTTTTCCAAGGGTAAACAAATGATCTTAACCTCTGGATGAGAAAGGCAGAGGTCTTTTTTGTTTTGTTTTGTGTTTCTGAGATAGGATCTGGCTTTGTAGTGTAGGCTGTAGCCCAGATTGGCCTTGAAGTCATGGTGATTCTTCTGTATCAACCTCCCAAGTGCTGGTATTACAGGCATGTGCCACCTTATATGGCTCACAAGTTTTTATGTTACAATCTCATCTTGTTAGAGATATTGTCACTTTTGATGTTCTTTTGATTTTCGATTTAACAGAAAAGAGTAAGTCCATTAACATTCAGTATGTAGGAACTATACAAAGACATAAATTCTAGTACATTGGACACGGTGGTGCTTACTTGTAATATCAGTATTGAGGAGGCTGAGGCAGGAGGATCACCACAAGTTTGAGGTCAACTTTGGCTAAATATTAGGTTCAAGGCCCTCTACACTATGTAGAGAAAGCCTGTCTCAGAAAACCAAAAACATAAAAAAAAAAAAAAAAAGAGAGAGAGAGAAAAGAAAATCAGAGACATAAAATATGAGGAGGCAAGGTTTTTTGTACGAGATGCTATGTATCACATGTGCTTACTATTAGAGAATTTAATATTTACAGCACATTATAAATTAATAAATGTCTTATTTCTTTATGAATATCATTCTACCCACCTTACAGATGAGGAAAAGTAATTTGCCCAAGAATGGAGACTGATTTATGCCAGCCATTCACCATTTTTCGTGTGCATGTGTGTGTGAGTATGCACAGTGCTAGGATCAACTCGTGTGCGCTGCACATGCTAGCTAAGTGCTCTCTACCACTGAGCCACACCCATCTCCTAAACCCTCATTTTTTTTTTTTTTTTTGTGACAGGGTCTCTTTATGTAGTGCAGGTTGGCCTTGAACTCACTTGTGTATCTCAGGGTGGCCTTAAACTCCCAGTGATTTCTCCACCTCAGCCTCCTGAGTGCTGGGATTATAGGGATGTGCCGCCACACCTGGCTAAAGCAGTAAGAAATAGTAAAGTTTCTCAAACCTTTGCAAAATGAGAAAAATCAATCAAATAGATACTTCCTTCTTCCATTTTTTTTCAATCAAATAGATACTTCTTCCATTTGTAAGAAAGAGAGCGAGGAATTCTCAACCTTGAGGGTTAATGATATGTACCCACTAAGCTATCTTGTTCACTTCAATTTGTAGATGTTCATGTGTGATACTGGCAATTGTGGTAGGCAAGATCTCTAGCTATAGAGATCCATATCCCTCAACTCCAGTTAAATATTTTTAAACTATTAATTTGCAATTAAAATTAATTTTCACTTTAATAAGGGACAAGAAATTCAAATTAAATTTTGAAATATTTAGATTCTTTTAAAAACTTCAATGTGAATGGTCACTATCAATGATGGTTTCCAGAAGTCCAAATGACTGCAAACTATTGTGTCGTCATTAGGGACCGAACTCAGGGAGTGCCCCTGAGTTCCCAAGCCCTTCTTATTTTGCAACAAGCTCTCACTAAAGTGCCAGGTTGGCCTCAAACTTGCAATCCTCCTTCCTCAGCTTCATAGTATACAACATCACGTCTAAAAAAGTATTGTTAATCCTTATTTCTACTGATGTGCATTTCTTTTGAGTTGAGTTGATTTTTTTCTAAATCAATTCTGACATTATTCTGTTATTGAATACAAACCTCAAATTATCTGGATGGGCAATAAATTTCAGGAAAAAATTGAGAAGACGGCATTTATAATCCAGGTGTGATCTCTTTTTTTTTTTTTTTTTTAAGTAAAAAGACTAAGGAGAGATTCATTCTCAGGAAGATGATCATTACAGACATGAATACTCACCAGAACTTCCCAGATTTTACCAGTTCTACTTTTGTCTGCGGTGGAAGCTTTTAATGACTTGCTTTTTTGGGGCTAGAACTAGGTATAAAAAACAAAAGTTCTTAATTAATTTCAAACCATTTGCTGCTTCCTGATTAGTTACGATAACTTTAAAACATTGCCAGAAGGTATCATACAAAACTTGCATTTCGGCGAAAGTCTCTGAATACGCATTAATATAGATTGAGGCCACACTCGGGCGGACAGGAAGGCAACGATTATTTAAAAGACGCTCCCTCCCTTTGCAGTTCCATCTCGAAATCTCGATAGGCAAGGGAAACCCAGCGCGGTCTGCCTCACGGGAGGCGCTGCAGCAGGCAAGCGGCAGCGAGAAGCACCAACCTGCGGGGCTCGGGACCTGTGGGTTGAGGGTGGGAATTGCGACTCCCGCCTCATGAAACAAACTCCACCTCCCTTTTGTCACTCGCCTCAGTGACCTTGAGCCACTCCCTATCACTTTCTCGGTCTTTGAAAATTACGAGAGGAGCAGCTGCCACCTGCCTGAGGCCACTGCAAATAAATGGGTATCAGGACGCGGACTGGCTCGGAGGAGGAGGCCGAGCAGCTCGCGTCCCCGACTCTTCACGCGTGCGCCGAGGCGCCCGCAGGGTGGCCCGGCCCGCCGGGGTCGCGCCGCGGGTGAGGGCGGGAAGGGGAGGGGACCCGGGGCGCGCGCCGCGGCCCTCTCCGGGGGCGGGGCTCGAGCTCAGCTCCGCCCCCAGCCCGACCTTTCCCCACCCTCCCCCCCTCCACGCCCTTTCCCACCGCCCCCGCAGTAGGACTGGGAGCGGGAGGAGGGAAAGCGAAGTGCTGTTCTGTGGAAGGGGACGGAAGGACTCGAAGAAAAAGGAACAGAACGCGGAGGCCTACTTGGGGACCGCAGTGGCTGTGGACAGCTACAGGGTGTCCTCTGCCCGAGAGCCGGAGCGCGGACTCCGGTTCGCGTCCCAGGCGGTTACCCCTTGCTGCAGGCGGCGCCCCCCGAGACAGCCCGGGCGGCGGCGCAGGCGCAGATCGGCCGTGGCGGCGGCGGCCGCCGGAGCCAGTCCCCCGCCCTGTCCTGCCCTGCGCCGCGCTGCGCAGCGCTGCACTGCCGAGGGCGCCCAGGCCGCGAAGCCGGCGCTCTCACTCCTCAGGAAGGAGCCGTGTTGGGGTGACGCTGACAGGGAGCGGCGGCAGGTGAGTGCGGCGCAGGGCCTTTCCTGGGCCGCGCGCCAAGGGCGGGAGGGCGCCGGTCAGGTAGCAAGTCGGAGGGCTGAGCTCCGGGGGGTCGGCCCGCGGGGGTCGCCGACGAGGCGACGGCGGCGGGGCGGGGGTTCCCGGCCTAGTTTCTCTGCAGTTTCCGGGGTCAGGGATTCCTGCGAGCCTGCAAGATGCGCTGGGGAGAGCCTGCGGTCAGAAGGGCCTCCCCGCGCGGCCGCCCGGGCTCCCGGGAACCCTCCGCCTGCTCGCGCCGGGGCCTGGGCTCTCGGGACTGCTCGGGCCGGGGCGGGCCGGGCCGGGCTGGCGCGGGGGTGGGGGCGGGCTTCTCCCTAGAACCCGCGGATCCGGCGGAGAGCTCCTGCGGTAGGGGACCCGGGGGTCGGCTTGGAGATTGCGGGTGGGAGGAGGAGAACAAGGTGCCCGGCAGGTGTCGCAGGTGAATTGAGGACACTTTCTCTTCTTAACGTTGAGTGATCATCAGGGCTTCTTCGCGGGGATGACTTACGGGAAGGCAAGTTCCAGTCAGTTTAGGAGTGATTACTGTACACGCAAGAAAAGCCGACAAACTAAGGAGCCTCTAGTGCTGGTTTCTTTAAAGAGCCGTAACTTTCCTGCATTGAGGATTCGTCGTTTTTTCCTACTTTTTTCTGCGTCGTAGACATTTCCCTCCTGAAGACCTTACTGCTTCACTGCAAATAAGGAATGACCCAGTTTTCGAATAGTTTTCCCCCTTTCCCTGCAACCCTCCTTTCCCGTGTTTGTTTCACACGGGAAAAAATTAGGGCCGTTAACCTAGGCAGGGGCTAATGTGAGGGAAAGTGTCATCTCCAGCAGTGAGCCCTCAAGCTGGTTGTGTGCTTTGTGCCTTGGTCACAGGCATTGTGACCAAAAAAAAATTAACCCATAATGCCTGCTTGACTATGTTAGGTTGTTCTTCTCAGACACCAGTTTACTATAGAAATAGGTTTTGTTTTCCGGTCTTCCTGTTTGGAGAATAAAGGAGATGTGTGTGTGTGTGTGTGTGTGTGTTTGTGTGTGTGTGTATTTAACAGTAGCAAAGTTTCATTCAAAGGTTTATTGAGTACGAAGAATTAAAAGTGAAAGGTAAGGGAGAAACTACAGAGAGAACTTAAGCCGAGTAAAAGAGCAATATAACAGTACAGTACACCCTAGAGAACATATGACGGGTTAACATAGGGTGGTACGGTGGGGTGGCACGTTAACCGGGTGTGTGTATTAAGATGAAGGAGGTCCGTAGTTCTGAGGTGTGCTAAGTTCTTAATTATTTAATTAGAGATGATGCTACACAAAAATGTAGAATGTATGTTTTTTTCTACATGCAATAGAAGCAAATTAGTTACAAAAAGAAAACGTCATCTCTGTGTATTAAAGGATACCTGTTCTTCATCACTATAACCGAGACAAAAAAATTCCTGTATTCTTGCAAAGTTTGTATTGAAAGAGTCGATATGTAATAAAGAGTTGATTTGTATGAAAAGAATAAGTAAGCTGCCTTCTTGGTGTAAAATTGGCAACTCTAAAAAACAAACTTAGATTTATATTTGTAAACATGATCTGTCCCTCATTTATGCTTTTTTGGACTCATTTTTCTAGTAACGCTGGAAGATTTCTGCCACTCAGTCCATATCCCCCCCCCCCCATTAGTATTTGTTGATGATTTTGCAAAACAGTTCATTGAGATTTTGTATTACTGGTTTTAGTGAATTGATCACACATTAGTTGACTTTGGCCACTGGTACCTTGACTGGTACTATTGTTCAGTCCTGTTCATTTGAATAATAGAAAAGCTATGATGTTAGAAATGTTGAAGTTGTCTGTTGGACTGATTTATTTCTATATAATTTGTGAGTGCATTCTGTTGTTGAGATTAAATATAGTATTTCATAGTATAATTTTGAGCTTTTAAGCTGAAGAAATTGGCAACAGAGTTGGTGTGTGGAGATTGTGCTTAAAAGCAAATGTTTTAAATTACAACGAACTGTAATGGTGTGTAGGCAGTAACAATTCATGCTGCCAGACTTGGCAGGTTATTTGGGTGAGAAGCTCTTCATAAAAAAACATGTTGAGTATCTGTAGTAAAAGCTAATTTGTAGCTATCCACAAGGAATTTTGTATGATAAATAACAGGGCACCTTTGCTCTTTGTATATTTGCCAGTGAAGGCCAAAGATATCTTGTATTTTCATGGCATTTCTTGCCAAGACAAATATTGGTTTTGAATTGGCTTTGCTGCTCAGTTTGAAAGTTAAGTTTCAGTCATAACTTGCATCTTTAAGTACAGATTGTAAAGTGAAAAAGTTGCTGAGTCAGTCACAGGTTGTCGCATCTGATGTAATTTATAGAATAGAATTTCTGTTATAGTTTGAATTTCTAATATAATATTCTGGCTGAAATTTAGGGTAAAGAAGCTTTCATATTACACAAATAAAAATGTTCTCTAAGTGCCACTAATCATTCTGCTTTCAGACTTGATTTGGCAGATAAACTTGTCATGGGATGCCTTGTTGGAATAGGAAATTGCCTTAAGAGTTTAAAATTTGGGGAAAGAATTTCACACAGTACAGGTGGTATAAAACAGTAGGTCTTTAGCATCATTTTATAGGGAATTTCAAAATTACATATATTTATAAGTTAGTATTTGTGGAAGAAGTTTATAAGCACTTTCTTTTTCTTTTCTTTTTGTGTTTTTGGCTTTGAGACAGGGTCTTGCTCCATATTTCAGCACCGTCTTAAATTCACTGTAGCCCAGGCTGGCCTTGATTCATGGCATTTCTCCTGCCTCAGCCTCCTGAGTGCTGGTATTATAGGTGTGTGCCACCAGGTCTGACTATAAACTTAGATGTGTATTTTTGCGTATGTAGTAATAGAGTTACATATGTTAAAAAATTTTTTTTTTACATATGTGGGTAGAACAGTGCATAAAGTGTCATTTGATAAACAATTTTTTTGGGGAAGTTGTACCAATGGTTGAACCCCAGCCTTACCATTGAGTTGCAAATTATTTTTTGAACTTAAAAAAAAAAAACATTTTCTTTGCAGTGGGCTATTAGAACTACTACAGTATTGTATTTGATTGAGAGCCGAATTGAAACAAGATGAAAAACTAGATGTGCATATTTGAATAGATATCATCAAGTAGGCATCAAAATAGAAATTAGCATTCTGACAGGCTACTGTGTTCTGTATGGTCCACCTGCACGCTGTAGGATGTACTTCTTTTCTTACTTTTACTTGGCTGCCCAAACTCAGGCTGCATAGCCTATTTATTTTTCTAACTTCATGTAATAAAATGTTGCAAAACAAGCATTGTCCTGATAGACTTTTTTTTTGTCTTTCTGAGCCAGAGGTTCACTATGTAGTTCAGACTGGCCTTGAATTCAGTATGTAGCTCAAGCTGGCCTCCGAACTCAGACTCAACAGCAGTCTTCCTGTCTCAGCTTCCCCAGTGCTGGGATTGCAGGCCTGTACCACCACTTTCTTTTTCTGATAGACTCTTTACAAGTTTCTGTTACTTTTAAGATGTAAGAAGTAAATTTAATTGTTTCAGTAATGTTGTGGCTTTCCAGTGTTTTTTTTGTGTTCATTTCAACCAAACCTAGTATCTAGATTTATTTTTAGGTATATGAATGACTCATCTTACAGAATTTTAAAAACTTTGCAAGAGTAAAGATAGTGGGCTGGGGATATAGCTCAGCTGCACAGCATCTGCCTGGCAAGTGCAAGGTTTATTTCCAATACAGAGAAAATAAAAAAAGTAGCAATTCTTGTTATTTAATTCAGTATCTCACTGTATAGTCCAGACTGCCCTGGGATTTGCATAGCCCAGACAGGTGTCCGACTTGTTACACTTCTGCTTCAGCACCTGGAGTGCTGTGATTACAGGCATGAACCATGTCTGGTTGAAATATTTTAATACATGCGTGATCGAACTCTAATTTGTGTGTCTTGCTATCAGGCATCGAGTCATTGGTGGCACCTACATGGCTGTCCCATCAGGCAGCATTTTATTAATTTTATTAGTAAAACGACTGATAGAAGTGGTTAGATCTGTTTGTACTATGGGTGATAAAAGCCATCCAGTGGGACAGTCCTGCATGTACCACTGGTAGTTCAAGCCAGAAGGAACGTGTCAAAGAATCCCTTGGGTCTTGTTTTTTATTGTGTTGAAGTTCATTTTTCTTAATTTAGGGATGTTTAGATGGGTATGCATCTTTGTTAATTGTGGAAAAAGTTTTTAAATACTGTTCTATCTGCTAGGAATTAAAAGATGGATAACATAATACAAGACAGTGAATATTAAGATCCAGGAGGATGAAGTCTTCCATGACTGTTAATACTGACATATCGATGTCATTGGGTAAGAAATACCTAGCAGATCAGTGCAGCACATACTGGGTGTTTCTGAGTAGGTCGTGGAGGTCTGGCCTTGCGCTATGCGGTTCTCTGTGTGGGTCCTTGCCTGTTCCTCTGCAGCAGTCACTCCTGCTCTGCTTCCTAGCCTCTATGAGCTTAGCAGCTTTCCTCCTAACACTCCCTTCCACTGTGAGGTTTCTGCCTTGGAGTCTGCCAGCCAAGCACTGAGTCTCCTGAGACAATGAGCTAAATTAAACCTTTCTTCTTTTAAGTTGTGGATGTTGGATATTGAGTCTCAGTGACTGAAAGCTAATTCAGAAAGTTCACGTGGGAAGTAGGGTTGTTTCTGTGACTATATCTGACCATGTGATATAGAAAGCTTTTTCTTTAGGCTATTTAAAAGTTTATTAGGCATCCAGTTTTTCATTTTTACAGTGCTTCAGGGAGTACCCTTGGACAGATCTGTGTACTTGTGCAAGCATTTCTCTAGAATGGATACCAAGATTTAGAATTATTAGAACATATACAATACTTAATATTCTTCGTTATCTTCTTGTTTTTTGTTTTTTGAGTCAGGGTCTCACTCTGTAATTCAGGCTGGCT